TTGAGTGATTCCATACTTTTTTCCTCAGAATTGAGTGATTCCATACTTTTTTCCTGTGCTTGATTCGCTTGGTTCACATTCACTGACTTCCACCATGTTTTCTTTTCATTTCTTTGAGAGTTCATGAAAGCCAACAAGTTGCACTTTGGAATGACCTTATTATTGTNTCATGTTTTTGATCTGAGTTTGTTTTACAGAATGAAATGTCTGAATGAGTGCTCATCAAAGACTGGTGATTCCATACTTTTTGCCAGGAGTTGTACATAACAGGTTCACCTCTCTAATAAAAATCTTTGTCATTTCAGATTATTTTTTTATGTTTCTCTTGTAGATATATATTTTTTCTGATTAATTTTTTTTATTATTTTAAATGAACTCATTGGTGGGCCAAAGTGAGTTTACCTGCAAACTGGATATGGCCCCCATGTCACCATATCTGAGCATTCCATGTCTAAAAAAGGTTTTGTGTTGAAGTAAATTTTAAAAAAATGGCAAAATGTTTCAATAAAGGATCATAAAGTTCCATCCATATGCAGACTGAATAACAAAGCAGCAAATGTGACAACTGAATATGATTTAGTAAATAAAACTATAAAACTAAGGACATTTAAAATGCACGTCAAACAAAAGCTCAGGAATCATGAAGATAATTCACAGTGTAAACTATGCTGATTTGGACTTAAACCATAGGATTTCTGCTGTGGTTTGGCTGTGCATACAACCATATCACTTGTTTTCTCTGAAGTCAATACTTTTTGAATATTGGACACTCAGTGGAGGTTCTTGGAAGCACCCAACAGATGTATAAAATTGCAGTAACTTTACGGCTGCAGTCAGTAGTTGTTCTGTGCAAGCTGATGATAGCAGATAGCAAAGTGCTCACACATGTAAGAGCAACCTCATATTTTTTGTGTCACCCCACCCCCCAGGAAATGCATTAGTTTAGGTTAAAATACAATAATTTTAAAGCAACAGAATGATAGTTTATCATTTCCAATCTGGAAACCCTGCCTGCCCTGGACCTTTTTCCACAGATACCGTTTAATGTCACCTTCAGAGCAGAATGGTTTCTTTGGGGGCAACTGATGGTGAAGATGGGACAGGTCCTCAAATTTTAAAGGCTGGACTTTTGTACAGCTTAAAATGTTTATTTTGGTTTGTGATGGACCAATTTCTTGTCAGAAACAGTGCAAAATTTGTCCATAATGTACTGATTATTGTAGTAGCTCACAATATCAAATATATTTCCAGAGAAAATCCCAGTATACAGTGATTATTTTAGTATATTATTTTCTAACTGCATTATAACATATGATCTATAATCATGCAGGTTAACCTGTGCTTCATTAAATGCTGAGTATTCTTGGCTGCACATCTTATTTGTTATAAATATTAATTAGTCATTAATGTATGCATTTTTGTTTTAATGGTTATAMATGTATTTTATTGTGGTCTGTCTGCATGTGCATGTTATTGCTAGCAAATAAACCGTATATGATGCCCCACAAACTGGACCACCATACTTTGCAGCAGGCAAAGATGGCAGTAGGCCTATAAAATCGTCAAGGAAACTTCAACAGATGCAGCCAGCACAGTATTACACATGCATTTTTATTTTATTTTATTTTTTATGTGTATTTGCCAGTTTCAACAAAGGTAAAACCCTAACATTAACCAGAGATCTATCAAGTCAAGAAGGCTTACAGTGGTGGGCACTGCCCCCCTTACTGGCCGCCCCCTTGGTGACGCTCCTGATGGGACTCTAAGAAATAAAAAAGAGGCGTTTTAAAACGGACCTATAGTAAATGCGCGGTGCAGTTGAGGAAGTTTGTGCTACACCTTTTTTCTTCAACACCTGCAGGTGAACTCTCCTCTGCGCTCGGCGGGGCGCGGTCACGAGGGTGGAGTCCACCGCAGCAGCAGCAGCARCAGCAGCTCTGGGAACCTTTTTACTCATCTGCATTCTTGGCAATCAGTCTGTTGCGCCTCTTTCTCCGGGTCCGCTCCCTCTGGGAAACTGGTTCAACCGATCCGTTGTGAAAGTAAGGGGAGGGGGACAAAACATAAGACGGAGCCGCAGTCCGAGTCGTGGAAGATGATGGCACCGGATCCGCTACGATCGGCGACGACCGTCGAGGGCGCGGAGGACACCTCGCTCGCGCTGCCGTCCGACAGGAGCCTGAGCTCGGGGAGGCAGCGCGTGCTGGATCAGGTTCACAGCATTAAGCGGACCAAGTCCAGACAAGGCAGAAGCGTGTCGTCTCCTACAAGTATGAAAACTGCTCTTACACTAAACTTACTCCAAATATTTTGTTTTCTCGTCGTTGGTAGGCGCTGTTTGCAAGGTTTATGCTCAGTTTAGAAAGTTTTAGAATTTTTTTTTCTTACCTGGACAAAAGTGCGTCACAGCCCACAATTACAGAAAGGTATAGCATCAGCCACTGTCCCAAATGAGGGTAATTTCTCTGTGTTAGTCTCGTAATTACAGTCATAAAGACCAATGTTTAAGGTTAAACATGAGGTAAATAATCCAGTTTCCCGTTCAAACTGGTTCTGTGTGGGAAAACGATGGCTTCCGTGGAAAAAAAAAAAAAAAGGTGACAGTTGAGTTATGTTTACAGCTTTTCCCGTCCTGCGTTGAAGTTGCGCAGTAGCGGTATGGAGCATGGAAAGTGTAGTAAACAGCGACAAAATAAATAAAAAATAAATAAATAAAACTATCTTTTAAAGCTAAAAATGCTTTACCTCAGGTGTTCTTGTGTAAAACACTATATATAGCCAAACTTGTGACGATGATTAAATTTGGATGTTTCCTAATTTGTTTTTGGCTTTCCTGCAAAAGCCTCTTTTAATATCAGCAAGAAATGAGAATTTTGCTTGTTTATGTTGAGAAAATAATGCAGAACTGAAATGTTTTGTTGGGATTGGCACAGGGTTAGTGGGTTTTACTGTAGTTCAACTGCTTTACTGAGGCTTTCGCTTTTTCTCAGTTCATTAGGAAAGCATTAATCAAAGCTACTGTAAGTGTTGAAGAAAAGATAGAATCATATCAAATGACTTGAAATTGTGCAGAATGAAATGGCATGTAAAAAGTTTATGAAGAGTCAAAAATATTCCATGAAGCTGAATTAGATGTGCTTATTCAACAGTCATTTCACTGCTTGCTTGCTTGTTAATACAATTAAGGTGAAACAAAAGTCAAATATTTGTGATATGTCTAAATGTAATTTGCTCACTGGCAGGATGAAAACTTCAAGATGTCCCAGGTCCCCTTTAAAAATGAGATCTCAATCTCAATGGGGGTTTTATCAGGTCAAATAAATTAAATACAATTAAACGAATGACATTGTTAACATCCATCATAGGGTTTTTGATAGGGATGCACGATATATCGGTATTGATATCGGTATCGACCGATATTGGTCATTTTTTAGAATATCGTATCGGTCCAATATTTAAAACTGGGCCGATATTAACGTCCAATATTGATTTCCCACTTTTTAGCTTTGTGTTTGTGTTTTAGGAGGGGAGATGGTTGGTTGAGCGACATCTGTTTGATCATAATAGTGATATTGACTCTGCACAGCCAGGAATATCTGAAGTAGGAAGCCATGTTAGAGGTCTGGTTGTTTATTTACAGCATCAAAAAAAGACGTATATAGTATGTATAATATGATTTGTGTGTTTGTGTAATATCGGTAAATATTGGTTATCGGCCATAACAGCAATAATTATATCGGATATCGATATCGGCTGAAATTTTTATATTGGTGCATCCCTACTTTTTGATTTGTATGGTGAGGTGATCAGGAGGCTTTTATTGTTGTATGTAAGCAAAATAAAAACAGTTGTTTTGATTGCTAAAATACCTCAACTCTGAGTAAAACAAGCTGTTTGACTATTTTTAGAAGTGAGACAGAAGATGTTTGTATTGGACTTAGGTAGATGGTCTGTCTCTTTAGGAGACTTGCGCCTTTTGCATAATAATTTCTCATTTGTTTACACAGGTTAAAAGAAAATTATTTTTTTGTCTTAGACTTGGCACAGAATATGTGTGTGTCCCTCATCCCAATGAATGATCCAACCAGCCTGAAAAATAAACATCTGAAACACAATGAAGCTTACAATTACAACTCAGAGGCTCTTAATTGTGTCTGACATGATGTCATACCTCTCCAAACCAAAGTCTAGGTGTTTGGGAAGCAAAATTAAGCATAAACCTGTCTCCATGTTTTTTTTTATACATAATAGATGTGATAAGACCTGAAAGAATTGCACATTTTATCCACTGTTGCTCTCCGTTTCTTCCTTTTTTATTTTATTTATTTATTTTTTGGTGTCCTGTATGTTTTTCCTCATTTGTTTTTCCTTCCAAACAGGCCCATCACCAAAACTTTCAACCTACAGTGAATTTGGGACATTCAAGTTTATGCCATCCAAAGGAAATGATTTACTCAGTCGCACCAACTCCACCATGTCAACAAGCTACACCAAAGTGGTAACTTTCTTTTTCCTGCTCAGCATCATGTGCTGGAAATCAGAGYGCAAACTTTTATGTCATGTGCTTGGTTTTGTGTTTGTCATTAATTCGTTTCAAAGTTGTTATAGAAAAAAATGTTTTTCAACTTCCGATTAATTTCAGCCATTCAAAAAAGAAAATCTACTAGGGCTGCATGATATTAGAAAATCTTGCGATGGCGATAATATTTGTAATTATTGCTGTTGCTACTACACCTGAATTCCCCTGAGTGGGACAATAAAGGCGGTTTCTATTCTATTCTACTTTATTCTATTGCGATGAGGACATCAGATGCAATATGTCTTTATTTCTTTCTTCCCTTTCTAATCAGTATTCCTACTCTATGTGACCTTTAACATTTTTGGCAATGTTTGGAGTGTGCTTTCGCTGCTTTGAAACTCTGTCCTGCTGTCTAAATATTGCGTTAGCATGAAAAACACAACTTCAAAACTCTTCAAATATATTAGTCGACATTTATTACACTCCGAGCAGTCCTTTGCGATATGAATATTGCATACATTGATATTGTGATGACAATATTTTTGCGATATATGGTGCAGCCCTAAAATCTACACACAATTAGATTTTCCTGTATTCTTACTATTAATTTCAGTTAAGATCATATTTTCTGATTTTATGTTTTGACTGATCTGAAGTTGTCTCTCAACACAAACTGTAAGACAAGTGAGCTGTTTTGCTTCTTGTTAGTTTTAATGAAAGCAATGTGTTGTTTTCCTCGGTATGTAAGAGCAGCACATTTCTTAAACTGGATTATTTTCAGGAGTAATGTTGGCTGCAGCTGTGTGTTCATGTGAGTAATTATATGTGGGTGTGTGTGTGTGTGTGTGCGCGCATGTATCTACACTGATTTGCCTTGACCTGACCTGACGTAGAGTTGAGACATTTCTAGGGTGTKTGTTAGGGTTTTCTTGCTAATGAAGGCTCATAATCAGCACATCATGAGATCCATTAGTCATATAGTGTTGGTATGTAAAGCTCACTAGAGAGCTAAATGGTTTTTCACCAGTCATACTGCACAGCATACATTAGTGTGCGTAAAAATTGTTTTTGAAACCTACTTTGTCAGTTGCTTTGTTGGATATTTATCATTTAAGGGTTGGGCAGTTAAATGTTTGCAATGTTAATCGCAGTTTACTAAAATCTGTTAAAAACCGCAGTACAGTTATGAAACAGTTTGGTTTAATTAATTGTAGTGTTGCCTGCAAGGGCAAAATCAGCTTGACAAATAAAAGTGACATCTATTTTATCAACTCTATAATTTCCTGTAATTTCAGAGGCCCCAAGCTAATGTAACTTTAATTACAAGATAATTATATGCAAATGTCACAATATAAAATATTGAGCTTTTCTGAAGTAGCTTTTTAATTTTTTTTTGTTAATGGGCTATGACAAATTTATTTATTTTAAATGTAGCATAAAACTTGGAAGCCAAACAGTAAAGTGTATAAAAGCTGTAAAACTGGCTTGAAACCCTGAGTTGACTCGAGGATTGAATTTGTGTTACTTTTTTTATATTTCAGGTTTATTGATGACTGTGTATTTTTTCATTTTACTTTTGCACATTTTTGTTAATCTTATACTTTCAGATACTTTATGCTTTTGCGTATTTTGCATCTCAGTTTGTGTAGTTTTATTCAGTGGCAATTTTGTGCAGCACTGTTTTTGTGTGTTTGCTWTATTCTGAATATTCTACACTAAGTCAACAAGACAAATTCCTCACTTTGTAAACTTGGTTGTTAACCATTCATTCATCCAACTATTTTCTTTCTTCAGTTTACCTGGTTTCGTGGAGCTGGTGCCTTTCTCCAACAGGTTAAAAGTTGGACAGGTTGCAAGTTCGTCAGGGATAGATAAAGACAAACCAGCTTTCACACACACAACAACACCTACAGTAGGGACCATTTCAAGTTACCAGTTACCCTAACATACTTTGTTTTTGTCTGTGGGAGGAAATAGAAGTACCTAGAGAAAACCCACACAGGGAAAACAWGCAAAGTCTACCCAGAAAGTTCCCAGGCCAGGAGGTGAACCAGTGCTTCGCTGATACAATTTACAGTTTATAGCCAGCTCTCATTAACTGCACGTTGTTAATTTAATCATTTGGGATTAAATGCAACTAGGGATTTATCTATTAAATCAATAAATCAGTTTATTCAATTAATTTGAATTAGCCATTTATAACGATTTTATTTTGGGAAAATCTGGATTTTTTTCCCCCACCAGTGCACTCTTTGAGGCTTCTATACATCAGAGGTCACCCCGCCTGTCCCTCAAGATGCTTGGTACATTACATGACAATATGGCAGCTAGCAAAGAGGATCTACTTCCCAAAAAAGGCACTGTGTCTTCAGTTATCTGGAATTGGTTAGGTTTTGCAACCTCGGACTTGGAGCAACAAACACCTCACTGCAAACTCTGTTTGAAGGCTCTTGCTACAAAAGGCAGGAGTACAACAAATTTGTTTCAACACCTGAAACAGAGGCACTCCATTAATTGGGAAACAAAATCAATTAAAATCAAATTTGGGGTGAAAAAAATCTGAGATCCTTTTTTTTGGGGCCATATCGCCCAGCCCTAGATGCAACCAGATTATATCTATGTATGGTTTAGTGGTTAGCGCTGATGCCTCTCAGCAAGAGGGTCCTGGGTTTGATTCCTGGTTCAGACCTAGGATCTGCTTGTTTGTTTGCATGTTCTCCCTGCTTGGGTGAGTTTTCTCTTGGACCAACAACAGGCATGTTGGGTTACCTTCAGGCCCAAGTCTCTCTTAATAAAGAGCTCTCAATGGCATTTGCCTTGTTAAATAAAGTTTACTAATGTTTTTGTTAGTTATTTTTTATTTTTTTGCAGACATTTATCACACATTTAGCAGCACAAAAAAGCCATGTGTTTTATTAGGCATTTTATGGATTATCATGTATGGTGAAACTCTTAAGGCAATCACATAGCTGTACCTAACAAGTTTGCCTCTGGCTACAACATATGTATACAGCTACTTTTAAAGACTATTGTATTCTTCTCCACAAAACATTAMTGTATTCAAATATCTACTCTTTATAGAAATCTTAAGCATGATTAAATAAAGTAAACAATACTGTATAGGTAGTTTTTCTAACTGCTTAATTATGATCATAACATTCACACGTAACAAAGGAATATCACAGAGAAGGTTCATTACTGTAGTGAAGGAGGAAATGGAAAGAAGMAGCTGAATTATGACTAGCGCTGCCGTGATTAGTCGACTATTAAAATAATGATTTGTGGCAGCCCTAATTATGACTACACACCAGTAACAGTGTCCTGTTGGGTTTTTGGGCACCTGTATTTGCCCTGCTCATATATTCTTTTAAACTTGTTCAGTTGTTGATGTAAGGAAATGACTGTTTGTCCAGTCAGAAAGGAAGCGAAAGCGCAGCACAGTGAGAACAAACACTCTGTGGTTAACAACGTGTGCGGCTGACAAGTCTAAAGACGCCTTCACTGCCGAGTGAAGCAGCTGATGTATGAGTGGTTACTCAGCAAACTGTCCAGTTTAAACAGGAGACAGTTGTCTTTGTCTATTTAAGCTTCCAGCTTTTACACTATCTCAAACTTATTATCTTATGAAGTCAAAATGTCAAGATGTCAGCTGCAGGCGTTTATATAAGCTTTGATTAATGATTTTGAATGTTGAAAAACTCCTTTTACACTTTTTTGTCAGAACTGAGTGGAAAGTTCTTCACTCTCTGCCTGTTTTTTATTTTATTTTTTTAATTATTGTCATTTGGAACTAAGTGGTGACAGATTCTTACTAAAACATGCATTTTCTTTTATTCTGTGCTACTGTTTGTGAAAGTTTAAAATGTGTAGCTTTTACACACATAATCAAAATTATAGAGTGCTGTTGGACTGAGTATATATTGTGATATGTTAAACAATGCTTTGTCTTGTTTACACTCACAAAATGACTCAATTGTAACATCAATCATGCTTGCAAACAGCCTTTACTTTGGACTATATTAGTAATAACTAAGATAAAGGAAAGAAACTAASAGGTATTCAGAGATTGTGCCAGTTTATATATTTTTGTCACTGGTTTTAGTGAAAGTTGAAAATAKAATATTTTTTAGCTTAAATTTATGATTCAGGGAAGCTCAGAAGATGTCTTCTTTTATTTAGTATGTTTTAGTCTTCTTTCTGAAATAGTTGTATCCCTATGTTTTAAAGCAAAATTCATTTTGTTGCTGATGCTTCTTAAATTAAAATGTTTCTGGCATAGCAAGCACATCCTGAACTTACACTCTTTTTACTTTAGGCCAATTTTCAGAAGACACATAGTCAATCTGCTAGAGTTCCCAAAGGAAGACATATCAGCTCCTCGACTATATGGGATCAACAAACAATCAAGAAACCCAATGGGCTGAAAACCAGTCGTAGTGACCCTACATTGGTCCCTCCTCTTTCTCCGGCTCAGTCACGTACCTTGGTGATCACTTTTTGTTTGTTTTATTCCTTTCTGGAAAATAAATAAATAAATAAACAAAACTTATGCAGCTATTCTGCCAAATGACAATAATTTTGTAAATTGATCACTTTTTTAGAGCACGAGAAGGCAGAACACCATTCGATCTCATCAACAGAGCACCTCTTCCATGGTTAATGGCATAAACCTCACCAACAGCCAAACAGGCATTGTCCAGTCACCTTCTATTCAACCTCAATTTGATGGCAGGTTGGGTACAATGAAAATGTTAAAAATGGAGCAGACATGTGAGACAATGTGAGTTTCCTTTTTTTTTTTTTTTTGCTTTCTGCTCTTGTTTGTCTAACTCCTCAAAAACAACAGTGAAAAAAAATCCAACTATAAATTCTATTCACTGAAATCTGATAAACTAATTGTCAACCATGTCAATGATCCCTGTTCCTGTTTTTAAAGGTTGAACTCAATGAGCATAATGGACATAACCTTAAAAGAAGCTGTGGTGTTCCTGGATCAACCTGAAGAAGATAAACAACATTTTGGAGCCAGCGCCATCCAGCACTACACCTTTATTAATGACGATGCCAAAATAGAGGTTGGACTAATAAACACACATCTGGTTACTTTTAGCAAATACACCCTCCAAACACACACACACGCACGCACGCACGCACGCACGCACGCATGCACGCACACACACACACTGTTTCATTTGTTATGCTTCCATTCTTTGTATTGGGATTGATTTTGGGTTGTGTTGTTACAAACAGAAGAGATCTGTGAAATTTTACACCTAAGAAATGTTTCCCATCCCTCATTGTTGCTTTTTATCTTTGCAGCATGCCATGCCATGCCATGCCATGCCATGCCATGCCATGCCATGCCATGCCATGCCATGCCATACCACACCACACCACACCGCTTTATTCATAAAGCCCTTAAAAACAACAAGGCCAACAAATAAGAAACAGCACAACTAGATAAGGTTAAAATCCTATCACACTGGGTCAGAGGCCAGTGAATTAAAGTATGTTTTTCAATGAATATTRAAAATGGCAAGTAAGGGAGTTTGCCTAACATGCAGTGGGAAATGATTCCACAGTTTTGGACCTGTAACAGTGAGCTCATCGCCTCTGAGCTTGTATCACATCTTTGGAACCATTTAAATCATCTGATCTGMAGTACGAACAGCTGCTGCAATCCAGAATGCTAAGAAGGGGGCAGAACTGTWAAGAGACATAGAAACTTACAAAATAGTTTCAAAATGAATTCTGAAGTGAGAAAGCCAGTGAAGGAAAGTTGCAAACGAACAATGGAAGCCTGACTAATGTCACTTGATTGCTGCTCACAAATTAGAGCTGATTTTCCATCCATGTCAACAGAATATCAAGAGCATGGCTTATTAAAAATAAATAAATAAATAAATAAACTTGCAGTAAATGTTGGTACTCATTCCTAATGAATCCTAGAAGATCTTTTACTGACATATTAGTGGAACTCTTTCTGATAAACCTCAAACCAACTACCTGTCATGCATCATTTGTTTGCCTTTATCAAACTTGTGACTCACATTGTGCACAAATATTTATTTCAGTACATCTTGTGCAGGGAGTTTTGTTTTTTGGTCTTGTGCGTTTAGATTTTTGTGAGTGTACTGCATCTCAAGCTATAGCATGAAAGTCCCATCTCAGTCATGTCACAATCCATTCTTGAGTAAAATCCTCTCTAAAGTTTCTAAAATATTTTAAATAAACTTTTTCCCCCTGAGACGAGCCATTGCACTGTAGTTAAGATTTAAAAATGAGAAACCATCAAAATCTAATTTCCATTAATTTATTTACTAAGATGTTTGTGCATCTGTGCGTGTCTGCACAAATGCGTTTTTATCTTTTTCACATCACATCTTTGTTTTGTAGGTGCAAGCATTAGAGGGTATTCCACCTCTAGTGAACCTGTTGGACAGTCCCAACCCACAAGTGTCCCAGACTGCTGCTGGGGCTTTGAGGAATCTTGTGTTTAAGAACAAGGTCAACAAGGTGCAAGTTTATGATTGTGGTGGTATAGCCAAGGCCTTGAATCTACTAAAGAAGACTGATTCTACTGAAACCAAGAAACAAATCACTGGTAGGAATTAATAAAAACTTTACCTCCAAAGTGTTGTGTATTTCTGGAATTTCAAAAGTAAAATTGAACACCCACTGACATTTTGCTTTTGCCATGATGAATATTGAAAGGCATTGCRTTCCTTCAAGAAATACTAGGCTTTTATTATCATTATTACTTTTAAAAAGTTAATCTTCTTGCATATGATATATAGGCCTGCTGTGGAACCTGTCTTCTGAAGACAAGCTGAAGCAAGACCTAATGAATACAGCACTGCCTGCTCTGACAGAAAGRGTGGTAGTGCCGTTCGTCTCAAATGATGACAAACAATATGTCGACTCATCCGTCTTCTACAATGCTACAGGCTGCCTGAGGTAAACATAKTTCATTCACTGAGATAAGATTTTAAGTTTGAAATGTTTCGTGTTCTTAATATCTAAATGATTGAGCAATACTAAACGGTGTATGGGTGTACATGTAGGAACCTGAGTAGTGGTGGTGTTAATGAGAGGAACATAATGCGAAACTGCACCAACCTCATCAGCTCACTTACGACATTTGTTGAGTCCTGTATCTCAAAGGAAACCACTGATGACAAGGTAACTTCTCTAAACACACCATAAATGCATTTTTTTTATTACAAGTATCTGTAAGAAGACAGAGTAAATTGCATTTACATTTGCAGTTTGTCTATCTATTCCACCTTATCACCTTATCAGTATCAGGAAAATAATCAGCTTGTTGAATGTTATTAATCAATTAATGGATAATTTAATCAGTAACTTGTGTAATAAGTATGTAAAATGATCATTTTGTGATAAAAAACTAACTGACAAACAACGACAATTATGGTCATATTATATTGAGATGACTYACAAACATCCACTCAGTACTGTAATCTAGGATCAAAAAGAAAAAAAATTGTATAGGTCTTCTGGACGGGTTCTTCTCTAATGAAACGTTTTGTCTCTCCTCCAAGAGACTTCTTCAGCACTGCAGTGCTTAAAAGCCTGAATTTTGCCTGAAACTCTCAGACTGAAGAAGTCTCTTGGAGGAGAGACGAAACGTTTCATTAGAGAAGAACCCGTCCAGAAGACCTATACAATTTTTTTCTTTTTGATTTTTTTACCTGGATTACTGAGATGCATCAGGACATGTAATCTAGGATGTAAACTAATATAAATGTTAAACTTATGTGAAAATGCCATACTCAGTCTGGATTTTTTTGGCTTTGATAAAGAGATCTCCAGAATGAAAAGAGTTAAYCCACAGAGTAGTTTCCTGTTGAATGTCATTAAGGTCCTTCTTTATATCATTGTGCAGAAACAATTCTCAGAAACTTTCTGTGTGTTGGATTGTTATGAACACTCAAAGCAACCGTGTGAAAAAATAATCAGAAAGTAAATTATTGGATAACATAAAAGACAGGATTATGAATTAAAGACCTATTTTTCTCTTCTCTGGCTCTATCATTTAGTCTTTGGAGAACTGTGTATGTATTCTCCATAATTTAACCTATCAACTGGGGAAGGAGCGTCCAGAGGCATTCAGTGAATATTCCCAATCAAGAGCGTCCGTCTCTCAGGAGAAGAAAAATGCCACAGTTGGCTGCTTCAGCCCAAGGAGCAGCAAGGTTCCGAACGAGGTGAGCATCAAAAGTTTTGTTCTTTCTTCAACCAAATCATAAGCAGCATTTAGTTCTAACTATCTCCTCTTTTCTCAGTGTTCTTTAGACAGACATCCAGAAAAAAGCAATGATTCTTCCCAGTCAGGAGTGAAATCAGGAGTGACTTCAGGAGTGAAGTTGTTGTGCCAACCCAGTGTCATTGACAACTACCTGTGGTTGCTGGAATATGCCAAGGAAGAACCCATTCAGGAGGCCAGCTGTGGTGCCCTGCAGAACCTCTCAGCCAGCAGCGAAGTTAGAACTAAGATGATCATCGCTAAGCTTAATGTTTTGTGTTTTGTCAATTTACTGAAAAATTTTGGAAAGAGGGAAAGCCAGAAACATACTCTTGGTTTTGAGATTAATGCAACAGATAATAAGTTTACTACATTAACCACGTTTTTATAGGATAATTTATTGATCTATTTTTTTTTACAATAGCTTAACATGTAGAAAAATGAAAATTTCACAAGGCTTCGTTTGATATCATGTTTTATGAATGTGGACAGTTGTCATTATCTTCTTCGCATTTTGTGTTGTAGGAGTCTGGAACTGTGTGCAAAGTTTTGCTTGAGAAGTTTAAAGATTTGCCTATCTTGGAGTCTTTGATTGCATCAGAAAACCCTACCATTCGGAAGACTGCCTTGTCCTTGCTGGATAACATGTCCCGTAGCAGAGTGCAGGTGGACATGGGTAAGAAGCAACTTRACAGTCAAACAAGATGAGAACTGGRTTAATCTGTGTGGATTTCTGCTACATATGTCTATTGTACATAAATAATTGCATTAAAACACATTACAAAAATACAATTTTTATGATGATTTGGTGTCTCCTCCACAGCAAAGCAGATGTTGCCTGAGTTGGTGTGCCAGCTCGGCTCCTCCACAGATGAAAATAGGTTCAATGATGAAGATGCTGTAGCACTTGGTAACACAATTCTGAGACTGACGCTGACAGACAGTGAGGTCACGAAGAAGCTTGTTGATAAAAACATGGTTTCTCAGCTGATTAAATTGAGCGGTAAAGAGTGAGTGTTTCATTCATTGATCTTTTTTTACAGCAGTGATAAATCATCCACCTACTTGTCTTGATCCGTGAWACCTTCTGTTTATAGGGCGTCATATCCCAACGGGAGCAAAGTGGTGTCAGCGCTGTTGTACAACATGTGGAATGATAAGAATTTGTACACCATTGTGAAAAAGGTAAAAACAAAAACTTTACAAAACAAAATTGGCTGTGTTTAATGCACATAAGAATGCAAAGATAACCATGTTGTAGAGGTCAGGCTCATGCAGACACTGTCCTGCAYGACCAGCTGAAACAGGTGGGTGTTTACTGTCACTCTTTTGACTCACTTTCCCCCTTCATTCTGCCACGCCCCAGAATTCAGTGTGTACAGAGACAACAACAACTTTGGAATCTTGGCAGACAGGCTGCTCACCATTGATTGTTAGAGGGATCCATGATTAGTTGTAGCATTAGACTTTATTTAATAAACATATATTTAACTGCAAAATAAAGACTGTAAAAACACTATAGGATGTTCAGTTTTTATCATTTTTAATCAAAAATTTTAAAAACATTACACGGACAGGGCCATTTACACGCAAAGCATTTTGGGTAAATGATGACATGGGTAGGTCCTCGGTGCAAGGCTGCTAGCGAGCTATATCCACCTTGAAGGTCAATCTTGGACAATATCTGACGATTGACTCTTTTAAATTAAACCAGAGAGCGTTGACAGAGAGGAGAAGGTAGAAATGACTCAGCCTGTAACTGAAAATATGGATGGAGGACAACAGAGCTGCTTCATGGAAGAAGAACCTCAGCTTAGCCTGTTAATCTTTGCGCTAGCGTCGACACTATATTGCCTCATATGTATTAGCTCAGCGCTAACACGACAAACAAGCTAAACTGAGGTCCTCCATCCATATTTTCAGTCCCAGGCTGAGTCATTTCTACCTTCTCCTCTCTGTCAACACCCTCTGGTTTAATTTAAAAGAGCCAAACGTCAGATAT